GGAAGGAATGAGTGTTCACTTCAAGCCCTGCTTTAGAAAGCCTCTTTGTTTTATGACTCTGGGTGCAAGCAACCCTTTTAATTTTGTGTTTTGGATTCCAGCCATAGGAGGCCTTCTTTAATGTAGCAGATGGCTGGAGACAAGCAGCCTGGTTCCTACACTCTACATCAAGCGGCCTTCCCTAGAGAGCAATCTCCCAATTAGGTTGCTTAGAAAAAGAGAAGAGAAGAAAAGATATCTTAACATGGACATGTTAAAACGCCATCCAGCATAAAGCAAGAGCTGCTCGAAGCATCTGCAAACATTTGAAGGTTAGGAAATCTTTTGAGAATCGGATGAAAGCTGTGGACTTTTATTTATTTATTTATTTATTTTTTTTTTTACAGAAAAGTTGTACTTCGGTATACATACCAGAACATGTGTGCTCATTCCAGGGGGCTCAGGATGTCTCTCCTGTCCAGCCCTGTAGTTTCAAGGGGCTGTGGCTGTGGGATTCCCGTGCTTCCGGTGCAGGCAGCTGCATTCTTTCACTTTGCTTTTCCTTTGTCTCAGTAAGTTATGTTTCTCTGTTGTGAAAATATAGTCTGTGGACTAGTAAGGGAGCATTTTATACCAGAACACTCGCATTTTCCTAGGGGAAAAAAAATCTTTTTAAATGTTAAAGAAATTGCCATCGTGTGTTTGACCCTGGTTGATATAGGACCTCGGCTCATTCTATTGAAGACGAGGGGGAAAGTTTTTGAAAGCGGTACTATGGCTTTTCTGCTTCGGCACACCAATTCTTTAGGACCTCACTCAGACCTTTTCTCAGTGTTGCTGGTTCTCCCACAGTTTCGCATATTGAGGGCTGGAGGGTATGACCCGTCTGTCCACTGAAGAACATACCTCAGAATTTCCCTAACTTAGGAGGGCATAATACTGTTTCCAGGACACTCTGGGGGAAGTCATACTTCAGATGTTTCTTGCCGGATGTTCACTTGCCATGCTGAGGGCGGGCTGAGTCTTTGAGGTGGCTACAAAGTGTGGAATTGAGATATTCATTAAGAATACTGAAATCAATAATGTGTTTCTTCAATCACCTGTACTTAAAAATAAGATTTAACAACATGGAAAGTCTGAGTTAATTATTCCAATTCTTCATGTTCCGCATTTACTCTCACTTTTTGTAAAAATCATTTCCCTTTTGGATCTGGAAAATTCAATGCGGGAGTAGGTGATGGGCTATAAACACGTAGTCTGAATCTTTACACTGAAGACATCATTTAAATTTGAATAATTACTATTGATAGAAAAAATGAAAGAAAAAACACATTTTCACCCTAAATATCAGCCCAATTAAAGAAAAAACTTCTTTGTGCTGACAGCAGGATCACTCAGCCTCAGCACTAGAGATATACTTGGGCTGGGTAAGTCTTCCTAGAAGCAAGCTGGCCTTGCTAGCTGTTTGCCTGGCCTTGAAACTGTAAATGCCACTAGCCCTGCCCATCTAAGTTGTGACAAACAAGTCTTCCTCTAACATTATCAAATGTTTCTTAGGAGGCCCTAGAAATCCTACTTTTGGCCCAAACTATCCAGCAATAGTTTTCTCTGCAAGTCAAATAAAGTTGAGGATGAAAGTGCTTTTATCTGTTCAGGTGAATGCTAAATTAAAAAAAAAAAAAAGTAATGTGTGTTGATGCCTCACTGACCATAGCTATCTGTTCAGGTCATCCTGTTCTACAGTTCTTTCTAGATCTCATTTGATTACCCCAAAAACGGGGACCTCCTTACTCTATTACTGTTCATTTGCTGTTCAGTAATCTCATACTGTCTAGATTTTTAGTGATCTGTCTCACTTTCTATTTCCTATGAGGTTGGGTAATTTCTCACTCCTTTGGGAGGCTAAAGTTTCCGTTCCTCCTTGCTATGTTATTATCTGTTCCAATTTAAGACCTAAAACAGGCCCACTTTAACTCTAGAGGTTGGAGTCTCTAGTTGATTTGATCAGTATGTGGACTTAAGTTCAGCAAGCAGAACTGTTGGCTCTGAAATTACAAATGCTATTGTTAAAAGGCATCCTATAATCACAAATGGTTCAGTGCACATGTGCAGTGACTGCAAGACAGCTAAGTTTGTTCGGGGAAGGTTTTACTGGCTGTTTGAAGGGAGGAGTGGCTCTAGTACACAAAATATTTAAACCAAATTGTTACGTGTTATAATGTTCAACAAAGCGCCCTGCAAACATCAGTTCTGGAAAAAGCAAAGGCATCCTCCAAGGCAGGGTTATAGGTACTTCTGGGAGTTGTAAACCTATGCAGGCTCCAGAAATATGTGCCTGCCAAGGCCTGGAAATTTCTGAATTAACAACAAATAATCAGTGAGTATGACAAAGAGTTAAAGTACACAGACTTTACTTTTACAAAGTTTATGATGTAGTAAAGAGGTTTAAGATGTAGACCTGAGATTCCAAGCTGATGGCCACCAGGCTAAATTGGGATCATAGATTTGTTTTGCTTGGCTTATATAGATTGGCCTCCTGAATGTCTAAGAAAGCGAAAGAAATAAAGAGAGAAAGAAAGAATTTTTAAAAAGTCGTTAAATATATATAGTCCGGATTTTAATGTGCAAAAATCTGTTTTTGAAGAAGATCTGCCATCATTGGCCCTTATTCCCACATTTCCCCTGGTCTGTTGACAGTTGGAGAGGGGAGCAGCAGCTGCCCTCTTTGATCAGAGCAGACTCCCCAGTTCTTCACCCTCCGTTTGAGAGGACCACCCCTCATACAGAGACTCCTGCCATTTACTTAGTTTCTTCATTGTGGAAACAATGAAGCCTCCGGAGCTTGGAGCAAGAGGAGATGGCATCCCCTCCAACCCCCTCTCCCCCCTCCCCCAAATAGCAATGAAGGTGGTAAGAAACATTCAGACTTGACTGGGGTCTATTTTGGAAGGTAGAGTTTATAGGATTTCCTAATATATTGGCTTACGGTGTTGGAGAGAATTTGAAAAAAAATCACTGCAATTTTGATTTTCATTTAATTGACTTTAAAGGATACCTATGGTGAAATACTAGAACCTGAGTCTTGAACTTTTAAAATAAAAGTACAATTATTTAAAGTTTTTCTTCATTAGTACTCTCCAAATTGGGTGGTCTAGGTGGTACTACTCTTATATTCTGGAAAATGCCGACTGTTTTAGGAAATTACAGAGGTCAATATTGAGACCAGTCCCATTTTCTAGAAGAGAGGTTTTTGCCCCCAGGAGACAGAAAGGAAAGTTATCAGCCTGTGGTCACTCTGCTTCTCAATGGCTCCCACAGGTCCAGGACTGAATCCCCACCCAACCTCTCTCCTCCCGAGAGGTGGTGGCACATATAGGAAACTAGAGTTGGTCTCACTGTGCACACACAGAATTGTCTCCCAGACTTGGGGAGGGGGTAGGGTGGGGCACTCAGAGGTCCTGAACTCACTACATGAAGGTGGGGCAGGGGGCGGAGAGAAAGCAGAGACTCCGAGTAGGTGGTCTGGGGCTGCATCTACTAAGAAGCTGTAAGAAGTTCCTCCGTATGTTTCCTTTTTCACAGAGCACTCTCTTCACTGAGATTTTTGTTACAAGTCACTAAAAGTAGCCAAATTGTATCCGAAGATGTCTTTATTTACACTTTACTTATGACGGAGAACGTCTCCAACTGTCCGTGTCCAGGTCAATTATTTTATTATAACATGGATTTACTTGATTAGTGGAGGCTACTAGTGGCTATTGTGGTGATGGGAGTTGGCCGACTCCCATTCCCGGGATTGGCCAAAGACGCGAGAAGCCGCCGGCTGAGGGGAGGCCGGGGTTTAGCGGCGCCCAGCCAAGCGCGGAGGCTTTTCCTGCAGCCGCCCGCCCGGGTGAAGCGGCCCTTCCCTCCGTCCCGCAGCGGTCAGTCGGCCCTTTGTGCGCATGCGTCGACCCCAGCAGGCGTCCTCCCTGGCTCCTTCCCTCCCTCATCCGGGTCCTGGGCGAGCGGGCGCCGTGCGCGTGTCCCGCGGCCGAGCTGCTAATAAAGTTACACTGAGGGGAAGCGCGGCGCCGGCGCCGGGAGAGTGCGCCCAGCCAGCGGGTGAGTGCGTGTGGGGCCCCCGGGTGGGCGGGCGAGCCGGCATGGGCCTGAGCTGAGGCGA